CACTTTGGTTTGCATTAATTTGCCAAGAGATTAGGTTGTAATGACTGGGATGGAAAATGAGCATAGATATTGGTCACTCTTGCCTCTTTTTCTTAGTCCTAACTAATGAATGAATGACTGTATTATGCATTATATGCTTGAAAGAAAAGGGAAGCAGGCAAAACTGCTTCAGTGCTAAAATGTGTTGTGGTTGACGAACAGTTTGATGCTGTACATATGTACAAATTGCTTGCATTTACTATAATAAGCAGTCCATAATTGCTTTACCAGAATTCTAGTCTGTTTGTCGTGAAATACTCAGTGCATTTTAATCTCCAACCATTGATGATTATTGCTGTTTTTATTGCAAAAGGTATCAGTGGAAAGAACAGGAATCCTCTAAAATTCCCTTAAAAGTGTTAAGTATTCTGTATTTACTGTTACAAGCTATTTCTGAGACTTTGTGACTTGTCTTCTAGTATACAGACGATTAGGTGTTAGGTGTAGCAAAATGGGTTTTTGACACCAGAAGATTATTCATGATGTTACTGTGGAATGTCTCATTCAATTGTTAAATATCCAGAATGTGAGCTGGGTCCAGCACTTCTGATATATTTGCCTGCCAAACAGATTCAGAGTGTGGAGAATGAAAACTTAAATAAAGCCCCATCTGGCTGTGTTTGGGCATAATGGACTGTTTGACAGCTCTCTTCTTTTTGTTTGTGTTGGTGGATGCATGCTTGGTAACTAACTTTGAAACCCATTATTGGTACTTGCATAGCATCCTCTGGGTAACAGGGGCTTAATCCACAATTGATAGTGAGTGCAGTACCACATGCTATATGTAAATAGCTACCAGGCTGATACATACATGCATATATTTGACTTTAACTAGAGGATATTTAATACTGTTTGGATTTTGCAAGCCCAGTTTGACAAACTCATGGGATATTTGTGCAATGTTTGTGTCATGGTTAGGGACATGATTGTGCATTGGGGCTTTTCAGCTCCTTGCCCCAAGACCCCTAAGGTCATAGGTTGAAATTTTTTATTTAAATAAAGGGTTGTCCAGAATAGTGAACTATGAGACAAGAAAAAGCCAGCAAAGGAAAATATCACCTACTGTCTCTACACTGATGACACATGGTGTGTGAGTAGATCCCAAGCAATACTTTTCTATTTCTATTTCATGTTTTGTTATTTGATAGCTATAGTATAACTTTATTATGGGTAGGGTTGGAGGCATTATGATCAGAAGAAAAATGGTTGTTTAAATATTTGGTGTAAATCTCCAAATTCCAAATGAAGCGAATACTTGGTAGCTTTGTAAGTATATGTATGAAAGCTAAGGCTGTGGTAAAGATAGTCATTCTGGAAGAGTCATCAAGTCTGAATTGCTAAATTATAAAGATGTGAAGGCCTGGCGGAGGAGGGGATTTGAGGAAAACACTTTTCCACCAAGGACTATACTTTGTTTTTTTCCAAAAAAAATGGAAAAATTGAGCAGGAATATAAAATGATTTATTTTAGAATTTGAGACATGGAAACAGAGTGAGTCAGAAGGGGCCTCCCGGGCCATCTAGTCTGACTCCCAGCTCCAGCTGGCTCCAATCATGACATGCTTACCATGTGGTATTTATATATTGTTGATCAATATTTTAACATTAACTAATTTTAATTGTATTTAATTTGTATTTAAATCAAATTGTATTTAATTTAAATTTATTTTAAGTATGTCAGCTTTATGCTCAGTGCATGGAATAGCTAATTTATTTTATTTAGGATTTAGAGTAATGCTGTAACCCGTCCAAAGACAACAGTGATGGACGGCCTATACATTTAATAAATAAATAAATAAATAAAGTTATCCAGTTATCCAGCCTTTACTCCCCCAATATGATTTCAGAATACTCTAGTAGGAACATTTTCCTAGAAAAAACAGAGAATTAAAATATATAGAAATAATGAAATCATTTGGGAACATGTTGAGCTTTTTAAAACATTCTCTCTGTAAGTTTCCCAGCACAGTTATTTCTTCCATTCCTTACCAAAATTAGTGATCAAATGCATTTTTGTTCTATAAATTCTGGGCTGGTTAACTGAAGTAACTTCCAGGGTCTCCAGTGCTTTGCCCACAGAGGATTCTATTATGGGCACCCTACAAAATATTATAAACTTTTAAAATAATTTTTCCATCTCTGCATAATATAGCATCATAAGTCTTCTTTATCTTCCTAAAGCAGCTCTCCTCAGCCAGGTGACTTCCATATGTTCTGGACAACAATACCTGCTTTTCTTGACCAATGACCTTGCTGTTTGAGACTTCTAGAAGCTGTAGTCCAAAATATCTGGAGGATAATATGTTGGGGAAAGCTGCCAAAGTTATTTTAAGTCTGTAAAGGTGTATTTTTTATTTTCCCCAAATGTCTGCTTTTTTTCTCTTCTATGACTTGCAAAATTCTGGAAATTTTACATCTTTACTATAATCAGTGATTATATGACAAAGACCACTGTAAGCATATTGAAAAGTCAGTTGTTTGTTTGCTCTAGGAAGATTTTGTGAGACTGGGATGAAGTTTAAAAAATCATTTCATTGTTGAGTGGACAGTATTTTCAATAGTGTAGTCAATAAATAGCAATAACAGTTAATTAAACCATGACTTTTCATCACATGTGAATTAAGTCTAGTAGTTCAAGCTGCCAGTGTCTCTGAGAGGTTGGAAGGGACCTTGAGCAGGGTCTTCTCTGCCCTTTGCACTCTGCTCTATTGCTGCCATCCTACCTTCTCTCCAAATGTTCTACAGTCCTTTCCCATTATCCTGGTTACTCCCACTTCTTCTCTTCCTCCCAGCTTACCAGGTGGGAAATAGTTAGTTTTTTCTTTTTTAACATTTCACTTAACATAGACATACAGAATAGTGACAATAGACATACAGTACACATATGGAGTAGTTAATTATCTGCTGTTAAGGTTTCAATTATCTTTAGTTCTCCAAATATCTTTGGGCCCTTTGTGGAAACTCTGAAAAGAACTGAAGATGGTGAGTATAGTTTGATCTTTGGTAGTAGGAACTTTTCTATGTAAAGTGCCCAACTTGATGTCAAAGACGGTGGTGTGAGATGTTGCATGGTAATAGATATCTATATGCCCAGGTATGCAGCCCCATGTTGATGCTGTTACTATCAGTCCATCATCTGTTGATTGTTTTGTGATGAAGCTTCAGAGACCTGGATTTGTGTTTTAGAGCCCTGTCCTAGCAGTGTAACTAGACATGGCAACCCAAAATTCTGTAGCAATATATTAATTTTGGTACAAGAGATCAAGCTAGTTTGAAGGTATCCAAAACACAGAACTTACTGTGTACTGATGCTGGGTTGCACTTCATAAAGTTCCACAAGGTTCAGTTTTATCCCCTAAGCTTTTTAACATCTGCATGATACTGCTGGAAGAGGTCATCAGGAGGTTTGGGCTGAAATATCATCAATATCCCCATGATATGCAGCTCTGCCTCTTATTTTCATCAGACCCAGGTGTGGTGGTCTCTACTCTCAATCAGTATCGGGATTTGGTAATTGGTTGGATGAGGACCAATAAGCCCAGTCCTGATAAGATGGAAGTATTGCTGGTGAGGAAACCCCATTTCAATTGGGAGATTGTTAAACCTGTTTTGGATGGGGTTGCACTCCCCCTAAAGGGCAAGTTTTGTAGTTTGGTAATGCTCCTGGACCCCAAACTTTTCCTGGTTGCCCAGGTGGGCTTGGTTGTCAGGGGTACTTTCCATCAGCTCTGGCTGATTTACTAACTACACTTCTACTTGGATTAGGGTAATCTTGCCATGGTCTTTCATGCACTGGTAACCTCCAGACTGGAGTATTGTAATGAACTATACTTCAAGGCTTCCCTTGAAGATGGTCTGGACTCTCAAATGATCCAGAACAAGGCAGCACAGTTGTTCATGAAGACCAGTTCTTATGAGCTCATGAGGACCAGTTGTCATGAACATATAACTTATACCTGTCCTCAGCTGATCTCACAGGTTGCCTCTTCCTATCCAGGCTGAATTCAAGATTTTGACTATGACATACAAAGCTCTAAATAGTTTGCAACTACATTATTTTACGGAATGTCTTATTCCATATATTCCTGCTTATTATCTAAGATGTTCAAATGGGGCCCTTCTACAAGTTCCTTTTGTCAAGGAGGTTGAGTGGGAGGCTGCATGGAGAAGGGTCTTTTCTGTGGTGGCACCCCTGGAGATTTGCCAGGTGTCTACCTTGCTGAGTTTCAGGCGCCTGGCAAGAACATCTCTTCCGGTGCACCTATGGCACCATCTAGACTATTTCTATTGAGGGCACTGGTTTTCATCACATTAATTGTCTTATTTTTATTATGTTTATTGTGCTTTTATCCTGTTTATTTATTATGATATTTTAATTGCATTTTATCAATTTTATTGATAAAATATTTAATACATTTATTGGTAAATATTTTATTGTAATGTCTGCCCAGAGAGCATGATGATAACAGACAACTTTCAAATAAATCTAATAAATAAATAAATGCTGGTTCTGTAAGCATTGATGTAGCTCTGTTTTAATGTGTTTCCCTTCCCCGTTTTTCTGGGGAAAATGGTTAGAAATCGTATTTGTTGCAGCTCTGTCCAGCAGAGTAAGCTTTGTGGATATGTGAACATGCTTAATTCCTCTTTGCTCCCCAAGTGGCGTATAGATCAGAAGTACAAGACTAAACAAATAACTGTAATTCAGCACAATCCTACATAGATTTACTACCAAGAAGTCCCACTAGCCTGGTTTGCACAGCATGGCAGCCCACTGTGGCTTAACAACCTGGACAGATACATTAAGATGTGCTGAATACCTGTAGGCATCATTTTTGCATGATTCCCACAGCTACCCAGCTTACCATGGTTTGTGAACCCAGGTAACAGGGATTGCTGGAGGGCTTATATAACACTCAAAGGATCTGTCTTTGGATTTCATAAATGTTGTCTATCCCTCAGGTGACCCCATCTGTGTATTAGACAACCTTCACAAAAAGCAAGGGCAATCTGAATGCACACAAGCACAGTGCAAAAATGGTGCCTGCAAACATCCAGCGCAATAGAATGTCCCCTGCAGATAAATTAACCCCTGGTGAGGTGACATGTTATATGAGGTAGGTTACCATGTTTACTGTGTTTATTCCTGTGTATGTATATGCAGGGCTACAGGCTTAGCATCTGAGCTAGGGGTTTACTTTGAGATCTAGTAGCATGCTCACCTTATACTATCATTTTCTGTTGTTATCAAATAAAGATCTCCATAAGCCATGATTTCTTTGGTTTGCTAGAACAAAACCTGTTGCTATTTTTTAGTTTACCAAGCCATTCCACATCATCTGGATATGAGGCCTTGCAAAGATCGTTTATGGCTTCCTTTTTGGCATTCCCAGTCAGCATAGCCTTAAAGGGCCTGTATAGAGAATGTAATATAGCTGGTCCAGAGCTCTTTGACAGAATCTAAGTGCCTCATTAATTCCTGTATGCTAGAACAAGATAAAAAATGTCATCAAGCTGCTATCAGATGTCTGATATAAACTGCTGCAAGCTGGAGTGCCATTAGTTTAAATTCTCAATCAAATGCCTTCCTTGAGCTTAAGGAGCAGTGATTAAATGTAGAGGGTCCCCTGAGAGTACTACAGCTGTCATGGGGTTTGGGGAGGATTCCCTCCCTTACCAACAGGAGAATCTTGAGCCAGTGGTCCCAGTGGGTTGGGCCCTCTTCAAACCTGCACGTGCCTGTCCCAGCTGTTCTGCTTTGCCTAATGAATTTCTTTACAGGGAGAAACTGGGTATTGTCATCACAGGCTGCCTTCCCTGGGGACTCTTGCCAGCCTCAGTAATGACTAATGTTAGTGATAGTAATTGAAGTATGATGGCTCTCTGGGGACTCACACCATGCTTGATGGTATCAGACACTTGTGGCTGGTTCAAGCCTATAAATGGCTCAGAGTGATTTTTAATTGCTCTACTTGTATAACTATACTTCCAATATATTCCCCACATGGATGTATGGATATATATAAGTGTGCCTGTGGTGGTTTAGTGGATTTTTCTCCATACTATCTTGACTATACTTGGAGCTTGCCCTGAAAGGACTATAATACTCTGATATCCTTGCACCCTTGCTACATATTTTGTCTTCTACTGCCTGAGAGTATGTGCCTACAAAATCCGTTTGATCTCTAGTGGGAGAAGAAAGCCCATGTTTGTTCATTGTCATAGACATTTTAGAATAGGGAGTGGACTATTTAAACCTGAATATTAAAAAGAAAGTGTTTCATCCACGTCAGATTGTATTTGGAAAATACTAGTTTCCATGGATTGGTCCCAAAGTGGTGGTTAGGTTCTATTACAAAGTCTAATCACTTTTCATGTTAACTTTCTGGTTCAGAATTGGCAGACTTTTTTTTTTTTACAAATGTAGTAAGCTATGGAATCATGAGATGGTGAAATATGGTATAATATCCTTTGTAAATGCTTGGCTTCCATAATCTTCTTTGCTTCTCATCATATTCTGTGGTAAAATGCAGTGAAATGTAAAGCAAGATTATAGAAATATATCATTTTATCTTATTGCATTTTGTTGATTTAAAAGTTAACTGACCAAAAGATTTGGCTATTTGGGTGTTAAAGGAACACTATGAATTATGGTGACCAGGAAAAACAACAACACATTACTGTGTTTTTATAAAGTTAAGGGGAAGTTGACAAGACACATATGAATTGCTAAGCAATTAATAAGGTAACTCAAATTAACAGTTCAGCTAATGAACTAACTGTTATACTGGCTCTCCAGAGATACAAAGACTCTCATTATGTACCATTCCCAAACATCTGCATTCCTGAAAAATCTGTTACTGGGCACTTTTTATACTTTTTATATTTTAATAAAGACCTGCAGTGAATAACCTGCTAGACATTTTGCAGGCAGGCACCCATAGTCATGTCATGGATGCCATAGTTCTGATGGAATCTGAGATGGATGGAGCTACTGCAGCATCTAGTGATATGATGAATGATGTTCAGCTTCTGAAGCCTGAAGGGATAGGCAAACTGTTTGGAAAACTGAGACCTACTACTAACTTTTTAGTTTCTAGATACTCCAACTTGTGAGAGCTACCAGAACTGACCTAAGTAGCTTCAAGATGGTCAGTGCTGGCAAGTGACGGCAAGGTTCCTATAGCTTTGAAAATTTTTGAAAAAGTTTGTATCCCGTGGCTTTGGTAACTGCTACTTTATGTCTGATATGCCATTCTTGAGTAAGCTGCTGGAGTGATTGGTATCCTCACAATTCCAAGCAGTGTTAGATGATACTGATTTATTTAAATCTGTTGCAAACAGTTTTCAGACCTGACTATTGGGTAGAAACTGCCTTGGTCAACCTAGTTGATAACCCATGGAATGGATAAGGGGAGTACAACCCCATTGGTTCTTCTGGACCTCTCAGTAGCTTTTGTATGATCATGGTGTCCCTTCTGGATTATTTGTCTGGGGTGAGTTAGGAGACACAGTGTAGGAGTGGTCTCTGAAGGGGCTGCTGAAGGACCTTTGCTCCACTCCATGATCATTAGAGGGCTATGGAGGGCTGCAAGGTTCCATCTTGTTCCCAGTCATATTTAACATCTACATAAAACTACTGAGATAAGTGATCTGGATGTTTGGGTTGTAGTGTCATCAGTATGCAGATGATACTCAACCCTACCTTCAATACATTTTGGGAAAGTGTTGAAACTGTTCAACCAATGTCTGAAAGCTATTTTAAGATGGATGAGGGTGAATGAGCTGAAGCTTAATCCAGACAAAATGGAGATGTTATGGGCCGGGAAACCAACTACTCCAGATGGAGGCATTCAATTGGTCTTAGGTGCAGTTGCACTTCCCTCAGAAGACCTAACATGTAGTCTGCAAGTCTTGCTAGATTCTGTATTAGGAAATGCTTAGAGGGCACTAGTATTCAGAAGTGCATTTTACCTTATTAGGCTGGTGCAGCAGCTGCAGCTCAACTGGGAGAGAACAGACTTTGTTTTAGTTACCCATGCACTAGTGACATCTAGGCTAGACTACTGTAAAGTGATGTGTGTTGATGGGGTCAACAGAAGATGAAAGAAAAGCCTAGAACAATGCTTCTAGGAGGTGAGACTCTCACTAGGCTGATCTCCTGGCAAGGGGTCATTTAGGGCAGAATGGTCAAAACTAGGACACCATGCATACACCTTCTGCAGAAGTAATGGTCACATCAGAAAAAGAGAATTGGTATCTCTAATGGTGATGGGAGCAGAAAAACTCCTGAAGGTAGCTACTGGACAGTAGTGGTAGTGGAAGCCAACACTGGCAGAGAATGTTTCACAGATTGTGAATGTGACAGTCAGGCTAACTGTGGTTAGTATTGCACAAAAGAAGGCAGTGGCAAAGCACTTCAGAATATTTCTGACCTTGAGAACCCTGTGATGAAATGAGATATAATCCTGGAAGTTGAGACTTCCAGGTTGGAAGACACTCAACAAGTTACTGGGAAAGAACAAAGGACAAGTGCGAATAATGGTGCAACTTGATGCAAGCTGCCTGGTGCAAGTTGCTAATGGTGCAACTTGCTCAAAGCCAAAAGGAACTTTAGTGGCTGACATGCACAGAAGCAAAAGGAAAGTCCAGTACATACAATTGGAACACAAAAAGTTCCAAACTGGAAACAGTAAAGCAAGTAATGGAATGGTTGAACATCGCAGTACTTGGTGAGAGCAAAATAATGTACGCTGGATGTTCTAAGTCAAACAGTGTTTTACTCTGGAAATGACAAACTCACAAGAAATGAAGTAGATCTAATACTGTGGCAAGATGTAGCACAGGCAATGAGGAGCTATACTGCAAAGTCTGACTGCATCATATCAAGCAGAATTTATGGAAAACCTATCAACATAAGCATCATTCAAGTCTTCACTTCAACAGCAGATGGTGAAGAAGAAATCAAACATTTATGCAGGTGTTCAAAAGAAAATTGATAACACTGCAGAACAACACATGCTGATAATCATAGGTGATGGAATGCAAAAGTAGGAAAGAAGAAGCAGAATCCAATACTGTGGGAGAATTTGGCCTAGGGATCTGAAATGAAGCAGAAAAATAACTTATAGAATTCTCTGAAACCAATTATCTGTTCATTGCAAATAACGTACTTCAAGGAACCAATCAGATGATTATATACATGGATATCAGTAGATGGACAATGCAGAAATCAAATAGACAATGCAATTGGAAGTAGGCAATGGAGAAACTTTATTCTTGCTGCCAAAACTAGACAAGGGGCAGATTGTGATAGTGACCATGAATTATCAATATAAGAATCAGAATAAAATGGAAAAGATCACTAACAGACTCATAGTACCAAAATACATATTAAATACCATTCCTGAGGAATTTAAAGTCCACATAAAGAAAAATTGTGCATTACTGGACTCAATTGACAATGAACTAGAAGAAATGTAGACTGAATCCAGAGATATTCCTAGGGAACAATACAAAAGAACAATTTCTGTAGCAGAAAGAAAAAGCCTAGATGAATGACAGTCAGCTTGTTCCTTGTCTTGGATGGATGGCAGAAGAAACATTCATGATTGCTAAGGACAGGCAAGAAGCAAAAGTCAAAGGTGACAGAAATAGGGTCAGAAGCTTTTTGGTGACTATCAGTAGAGACAAAAGGCATCATTACAATGACCAGTGCAAAGAAATAGAAGGGAACAACAAAACTGATGGGGAAAGGATCTCTTTCAGAAGATCCAAGGAATCAAAGGGAAATTCAAACCTGGCTTAGGAATGCTGAAAGAGCAACAGAATAAGATACTATCTCATCAGGACAGAAAGTAGAGAAATTTGAAACAATATTTGAAAGACCCATACACAAGAGATAAAAAGATGACACACTCCTTTGAAGGAGAATCCTGTGAGGAAGAAACTGCAGTATTAGTAAGTGGAGTGAGAGCTGTTCTCAAAGCACTTGGGAAGAATAAAGCACCTGGAGTACTATCCCATGCGGTAGAGACTGAATTGGTCCTAGTCCTAACAAGAACATGCCAACCAATATGGAAAGTAAAACAATGGCCCCACAGTCCTGAAATATTTG